TTAAAAAAAGGATTGGATTCGCAGGACATAATGCTCATCTCTACCACCGAGGGTAAACTAATCCATTTCACTACAGTGTACTTGAATTCTTATTTTTTCTAACTTCTTTTGTTCAGGTAGACTTGTAGAGGTATGGGAATGTCATATAGGTCTGTCAGGGTCGGCCCAGGTGCTATGCGTTAAGAAATGTTGGCATCTATACCGAACCCCGCCCGATTTTTATGAAGTCTGAAATAAAACAGCGAATGAGATTTACTTTAGCCACGTTATTGTGACTCATCGCCTGCAACGAGATTTCAGTAGAATGTGTAAGCTTACTCCCGCCGCTTACCCGCGCATCATCATGGTTTGCTCGAATGAGCGGGAGTTCACTCGGGTTCCATTATTACACTTTCAGTGAGAGCGAGAGGGGGAGGGGGAGAAAGAGGGAAAGGGAGAGAAGGAGGGGAAGTGAAGGAGAGGTGCAATGTTGCCGGAAAGGGAAGGTAAGAGGAGGAAAGAAAGAGAGTGGTTATGATAGGGAGATAGGGGAGAGGTGAAAGAGAGGGAGAGGAGATTGGGGGAATGGCAGCGGAAAGGAGAGGAGCGAAACCCAGGCACCACCGGATGAACATTAATTAAGCCATCACAAGAAATGGCACAGGCATGAATAACCCGAAAGTGGTAGATTTTTTGGAGTGAATGTGAACTTTGGTGGTGAAAGGATATACTGTGTGTTGAGGGCGCATTTAAACTGTCAGTCCTTACTCTGTGGCTGCTATCGCGAAGGACTTAAAATTGTCTTGGGGCATAATATGTACTCGAGGATGAGGTGAAGGTGAGGCACCTCACTTACAGGTGCAGTGTGACTTGTCACTCTGGTGTTCCCATGATGGCTGGTGCAGCATACTGTGTGTTCCGTCGTGTTCTGGACGTTGGTGGCAGAGTGTAATGTGGTGGTAGTTGGCTATTGGTGCGTGGCTTGGTGTGCTGTATCTATAATGCCTCGCACATGTCCAGTCTTCTGTTGTCGCGGTATCTGTCCATTATTTTGGTGTTGTTTGTCAGTATATCTCTGGTGATGTGTAGAGATTATATGTCTCTTATAGGTCCTTGTCGCTTGTGCATTGTTAGACATCTTGAAGGAGATGTTGTTGTCTTGCCTATATATTGAATACGTTGGGGCTGACTGTCCCCAAGTGGGCAGGTGATGGTATAAACAACATTCACCTCTTTCAAGGTGTTTGGCTCGAGGAGAGTTCTACACGACCAAGTTGACAGTTTTTTTGCTCTTAAAAGTTTATTATTAGTTTACTCATCTGGTTGTGTCAGTAGGGGTCATATTTCTATCAATATTGTTATCAGAACCTTCTCTTCTCTTGTGTGAGCCGCGGAGAAGCTCCTGTGGTATATTTTAATAGTAGAGACCGATGGGGTAGCGTTGTATGTTGTATCTGGAGTTGTATATTGTATCTAGAGTTGTATATTGTATCTGATGTGGCATGGGTGCTAATCTTCCTTGTGATGAATTCCTCAACATATCCACTAGCTTATCCATTATTGATTAGGACCCGCCTGAATGTTGACCTTAGGTGTTGACCTCTGAATGTTGACCTTGGCTGTTGACCCTGGGTGCTGGCTGGCCACACAAAGTTTCAATAATTAAAGGTCAGGGAGAGTTTTAGGGAGTAAACAAACATAATGTCTTTAATTACCAATTCCCCTCCTACCCCAGCCATTACCCCCCCCCCTCTCAGGCTCCTGAAATAATTGACTAAATGCTATAAAACTGCAAAACCTTTTATCCTGATTAAAATGAAATATTTAAGAGAAAATAGTCAATATAATACAAGACTGGAGCCACAGGGGCTAGTCTTACGCTCAAGAAACACTGCCTTACGCTCAAGAAACACTGCCTTACGCTCAAGAAACACTGTCTTACGCTCAAGAAACACCGTCTTACGCTCAAGAAACACTGCCTTACGCTCAAGAAACACTGCCTTACGCTCAAGAAACACCGTCTTACGCTCAAGAAACACCGTCTTACGCTCAAGAAACACCGTCTTACGCTCAAGAAACACCGTCTTACGCTCAAGAAACACTGCCTTACGCTCAAGAAACACCGTCTTACGCTCAAGAAACACCGTCTTACGCTCAAGAAACACCGTCTTACGCTCAAGAAACACCGTCTTACGCTCAAGAAACACCGTCTTACGCTCAAGAAACACCGTCTTACGCTCAAGAAACACCGACTTACGCTCAAGAAACACCGTCTTACGCTCAAGAAACACCGTCTTACGCTCAAGAAACACCGTCTTACGCTCAAGAAACACCGACTTACGCTCAAGAAACACCGACTTACGCTCAAGAAACACTGTCTTACGCTCAAGAAACACCGACTTACGCTCAAGAAACACCGACTTACGCTCAAGAAACACCGACTTACGCTCAAGAAACACCGACTTACGCTCAAGAAACACCGACTTACGCTCAAGAAACACCTCCTTACGCTCAAGAAACACTGACTTACGCTCAAGAAACATCGACTTACGCTCAAGAAACACTGACTTACGCTCAAGAAACACCGACTTACGCTCAAGAAACACCGACTTACGCTCAAGAAACACCGTCTTACGCTCAAGAAACACCGACTTACGCTCAAGAAACACCGCCTTACGCTCAAGAAACACCGACTTACGCTCAAGAAACACCGACTTACGCTCAAGACTTACGCTCAAACACCGCCTTACGCTCAAGAAACCCAGTCTTACGCTCAAGAAACACCGCCTTACGCTCAAGAAACACCGCCTTACGCTCAAGAAACACCGCCTTACGCTCAAGAAACACAGTCTTACGCTCAAGAAACACCGCCTTACGCTCAAGAAACACCGCCTCACGCTCAAGAAACACCGCCTTACGCTCAAGAAACCCAGTCTTACGCTCAAGAAACACCGCCTTACGCTCAAGAAACACCGCCTTACGCTCAAGAAACACCGCCTTACGCTCAAGAAACCCAGTCTTACGCTCAAGAAACACCGCCTTACGCTCAAGAAACACCGCCTTACGCTCAAGAAACACCGCCTTACGCTCAAGAAACACCGCCTTACGCTCAAGAAACACCGCCTTACGCTCAAGAAACACCGCCTTACGCTCAAGAAACACCGCCTTACGCTCAAGAAACACCGCCTTACGCTCAAGAAACACCGCCTTACGCTCAAGAAACACCGCCTTACGCTCAAGAAACACCGCCTTACGCTCAAGAAACACCGCCTTACGCTCAAGAAACACCGCCTTACGCTCAAGAAACACCGCCTTACGCTCAAGAAACACCGCCTTACGCTCAAGAAACACCGCCTTACGCTCAAGAAACCCAGTCTTACGCTCAAGAAACACCGCCTTACGCTCAAGAAACACCGCCTTACCCTCAAGAAACACCGCCTTACGCTCAAGAAACCCAGTCTTACGCTCAAGAAAACCGCCACGCTCTTACGCTCAAGAAACACGCTCGCAGTCTTACGCTCAAGAAACACCGCCTTACGCTCAAGAAACACCGCCTTACGCTCAAGAAACACCGCCTTACGCTCAAGAAACACCGCCTTACCCTCAAGAAACACTGTATTACGGCAAATAAAACAACCATGACGTCACTAAAGTTATATATTTGGTTCATTGTATTCAACACAACACAGACATACAACACTACAAGGGGTAAAATCACAAGGTCGATAATATCACTATCTACTGCAGGACTATCGCCCTTGTAGCAAGCCCCCAATCAGGGGATATAAACCTCTCTTGTATTAACCTTAATGACTCGTATATATCCTATGATATCTGACCTGATGTGACCCCGGAAAGATAGACAGGTTTCGTTGGTAGATTCTGAATGGATCCTGTCTCTGAGCTCCTGGTGAGAACCCTTGTATGGTCAATATTGCGGGGTAATTATATTGATGTTGGGCCTAAGGCTTATTAACCTCTGGAGGGTTATTAAGGTCCATTAACCTCTGGAGGGTTATTAAGGCCTATTAACCTCTGGAGGGTTATTAAGACCAATCAACCTCTGGAGGGTTATGGGTTATTAAAGTCTATCAACCTCTGGAGGGTTATTAAGGCCTATTAACCTCTGCAGGATTATTAAGGCCTATTAACCTCTGGAGGGTTATTAAGGCCAATTAACCTCTGGAGGGTTATTAAGACCTATCAACTTCTGGAGGGTTATTAAGGCCTATTAACCTCTGGAGGGTTATTAAGGCCTATTAACCTCTGGAGGGTTATTAAGGCCTATTAACCTCTGGAGGGTTATTAAGGCCTATTAACCTCTGGAGGGTTATTAAGGCCTATTAACCTCTGGAGGGTTATTAAGACCTATTAACCTCTGGAGGGTTATTAAGACCTATTAACCTCTGGAGGGTTATTAAGACCTATTAACCTCTGGAGGGTTATTAAGACCTATTAACCTCTGGAGGGTTATTAAGGCCTATTAACCTCTGCAGGATTATTAAGGCCTATTAACCTCTGGAGGGTTATTAAGGCCTATTAACCTCTGGAGGGTTATTAAGACCTATCAACTTCTGGAGGGTTATTAAGGCCTATTAACCTCTGGAGGGAATATTAAGACCTATCAACTTCTGGAGGGTTATTAAGGCCTATTAACCTCTGGAGGGTTATTTAGGCCTATTAACCTCTGGAGGGTTGCTAAGGCCTATTAACCACTGGAGGGTTATTAAGGCCTATTAACCTCTGGAGGGTTATTAAGGCCTATTAACCTTTGGAGGGTTATTAAGGCCTATTAACCTCTGGAGGGTTATTAAGGCCTATTAACCTCTGGAGGGTTATTAAGGCATATTAACCTCTGCAGGATTATTAAGGCCTATTAACCTCTGGAGGGTTATTAAGGCCTATTAACCTCTGGAGGGTTATTAAGATCAATCAACCTCTGGAGGGTTATTAAGATCAATCAACCTCTGGAGGGTTATTAAGGCCTATTAACCTCTGGAGGGTTATTTATTAAGACCAATCAACCTCTGGAGGGTTATTCAGACCACACCAATAGCCTCCCAACTAACCATTAATCATACCACAGTTCTGAACATAGCCTAAAACTGAAGTAAACTTTCATAGTATACACCGAGAACAGGCAGCATTCCTCTACCTGTATACAATACAAGTCTCAGGAAACACAAGTTACAAGAAATATACAGGTCATTGGCATTACAGGTTACAGGAAATACACAGGTTACAGGCTCCATAGGAACCTTCAGGAGCTGTTATAAAGAAAGAAAAATGATATATATAATTACATATTTTTTGTATAGTCTTTGGCATAAGGACTAGCAAGGGGCATAATACAAGATCAGGGGACAGTTTGACAAGGGACAGTGAATAAGAGGTCCTCATACAGCACGCCATACATCAAAATACATCACCAGCATACACACACTTCAAGGGAGGCCTATATGTACGTCAACACAGGGAATCATTGCGGGATCGAAGCGAGTCACGCTGATGGGACACTTTAGCTCCTGAAACATCACTCTAACGACCTTGTTAGCGTCTAGACGATTGTTAGGATCTAGCAGGGAAAGGGTTTTGGTATCTGAGAGATGTGATTAAAATCACTTTGTCGTTATGTTGGGATAATTGGACAATTGGGACACACCACAATCCCACAAACAGTGGGATTCAGGTCTGGCGTTACAGGAGGCCCATTGATGTGTAGCATTGGGCCCCATTGATGTACAACCCATTAACCCACACTCTCCATCTCTATTTCAATGGTGAAAGATGATTGAATACCCCCCTTTCCCCCCCCCCCTCCCTCTTTAGCGAACTATGACTCGCAAAACACCATGCAATGAATCTGCTTTTGGCTATCGTCGGTGTTGTTAAGAAACGAGTGATATCAAACGTCGATATCTAAATCATCGCACACGAGCTATCAACACGTGACGGCTTGTGTGGTGTGTGTGTGTGTGTGTGTGTGTGTGTGTGTGTGTGTGTGTGTGTGTGTGTGTGTGTGTGTGTGTGTGTGTGTGTGTGACAGGATGCCCAGGCCAGGAGATGAGGCAGACACAGGGAGGCTGAGAGCACTAACCCACAGATCACATCACATTATCCTATATTACGACGCAACGGAAAGCTATATATATATCACGAATGTACAGATGTGCATATATTATATACAGGTGTATATGAGCTGGCTGGCTGGCTGGCTGGCTGGCTGGCTGGCTGGCTGGCTGGCTGGCTGGCTGGCTGGCTCCACACGTCCACGCCATGAGCGGGACTGCGTGTATGTATTGTATAATACAAGGGGGTGTAGAAGACAGCTTAATATACTCCGTTAAATGAAGGGTTTATCAGTGGTGGTGTGGTAGGCCAAGTGTGGTTGATTGTGGTAGTCAGGACATCACGTGACCATTGGTCTCTGCTGTGGTGCTGCTGGAGGTGGCTGCTGGCTCTGCTGCTGTCCCTGCAGGAGCTGTGGGGTCTGCTGCTGCTGCTGCTGTTGCTGGGGCTGTAACTGCTGCTGTGTGGTTGGCGTGGTGGAGTGGTGGTGGTGGTGGAGAGGAGCGTTGTGGTGGGGTGTGGTGGTGGTGGTGGCTGGCACAGGCTTGCGGCTCTCGTCAATGATTGCTGGACCCTGTGGGGGTAGAAAATGGGGGTCAGGTCCTTTCTGGGTTGGGGGGAGGGGGACATTCACTCTAACAAGGCTATTGACGGTGTTAACTACACACACACTCAGGGGCGCCATAGTTATTGTGGTAAACACAATATTGGCACTCAGATGGCACTCACACACACGCACACACACACACACACACACACACATACACACACACACGCATACATACACACTCCCAGAGGGTATAGATTCGTTCCTCTCAATGTTTGCCGACGATGCAAAAATTATGAGGAGGATTGAAACAGAGGATGATAGTAGGAGGCTACAAGATGACCTGGATAGACTGAGTGAATGGTCCAACAAATGGCTGTTGAAGTTCAACCCGAGTAATGCAAAGTAATGAAACTAGGCAGTGGAAACAGGAGGCCAGGCACAGGATACAGAATAGGAGATGAAGTACTTAATGAAACAGACAGAGAGAAAGATCTAGGAGTTGATATCACACCAAACCTGTCTCCTGAAGCCCACATAAAGAGAATAACGTCTGCGGCATATGCGAGGCTGGCTAACATCAGAACGGCGTTCAGGAACCTGTGTAAGGAATCATTCAGAATCTTGTACACCACATATGTAAGACCAATCCTGGAGTATGCGGCCCCAGCATGGAGCCCGTACCTTGTCAAGCACAAGACGAAGCTGGAAAAAGTCCAAAGGTATGCTACTAGACTAGTCCCAGAACTAAGAGGCATGAGTTATGAGGAAAGGCTGCGGGAAATGCACCTTACGACACTGGAAGACAGAAGAGTAAGGGGGGACATGATCACAACCTACAAAATCCTCAGGGGAATCGACCGGGTAAACAAGGATGAACTATTCAACACTGGTGGGACGCGAACAAGGGGACACAGGTGGAAGCTGAGTACCCAAATGAGCCACAGAGACGTTAGAAAGAACTTTTTCAGTGTCAGAGTAGTTAGTAAATGGAATGCATTAGGAAGTGATGTGGTGGAGGCTGACTCCATACACAGTTTCAAATGTAGATATGATAGAGCCCAATAGGCTCAGGAATCTGTACACCAGTTGATTGACGGTTGAGAGGCGGGACCAAAGAGCCAGAGCTCAACCCCCGCAAGCACAATTAGGTGAGTACAATTAGGTGAGTACACATACAGAGTATGCCGCCTCATCATGGAGTCCCCATCTGAAGAAGCATATAATGAAACTGGAAAAGGTTCAGAGGTTTGCAACGAGACTCGTCCCAGAGCTACGAGAGATGGGGTATGAGGAGCGCCTGAGGGAACTGTGCCTTACGACACTAGAAAGAAGAAGGGAGAGGGGGGACATGATAGGAACGTATAAGATACTCAGAGGGATTGACAGAGTGGACATAGACGAAATGTTCACACGGAATAGTAACAGAACGAGGGGACATGGATGGAAGCTTGAAACTCAGATGAGTCACAGAGATGTTAGGAAGTTTTCTTTTAGCGTGAGAGTAGTGGGAAAATGGAATGCACTTCAGGATCAGGTTGTGGAAGCAAATACTATTCATAATTTTAAAACCAGGTATGATAGGGAAATGGGACAGGAGTCATTGCTCTAAACAACCGATGCTCGAAAGGCGGGATCCAAGAGTCAATGCTCGATCCTGCAGACACAACTAGGTGAGTACAACTAGGTGAGTACACACACACACGCATACACACACACATACACACACACACGCACACACATACACACACACACACACACGTACATCAGTTGATTGACAGTTGAGAGGCGGAACCAAAGAGCCAGAGCTCAATCCCCGCAAGCACAATTAGGTGAGTACACACACACACTAACCTGGCCAAGATATCAGATACTTTATACTTTACTTTGAATAAATAATTTTATCCAATTTACGTGTGTATGTGTATTTAAATTTATTATTTAAAATTTGGTTAATTTTATCCCTGTTGACAGTTGAAAAACACAGCCCTAAAAGGCTTTGCCTGTACACAGAAGCTCAGCTTAACTACTTAGACATGTCGGAACAGCGGAGATCTCGCCTCTTGCAGGTCCGAGTTCAATCCCCGACGGTCGAACTGGTTGGGCACGGTTCCCTCCCTTCGTGTTGTTCCAGATCATTGTCCTCATATCCCTTCAAAGTGCTATATTGGTCATACTGGCTTAGTGGTTTCTCCTGATAACGATCTTAACGACCATTTAAGGGAGTCTTTAGGGAGTATTCACACACATCTCAAAGACCTGAAGTATGTGTTTTAGTTAAAATTTTGTATCTATTTAATTTTAAATTTTAACAGGAATTGAAAGAAAGTTTTCCTGAGGGCGAGCAGTGAGATATTCTGAGCTTGCCTCGCCACAAGCTAAAGACTTTAACTGTTCCTGATTGTAAACTAAAGCTGTACTTAAATTTTAACGATGTAAACTTAGTTCCCAATACACACTTTTCCCGCCAAAGGCGTAAACTAGGGGCTTCGCCCACTAGATCTACGTGAAGATCCTGGATCCTGGAAGATCTCCAGTAGACTCACACTGATCCACTCTCTTCCTAATCTTACAATTCCACTTAACGCGAGTTAAAATATTCTTCTCCCTTTCAAGACACCGTTAACAGTGCCTTTGAAGCACTGACTTCCGCGTTCTCGTTACCCCTCTAAACTGCCCTTTCCCCGTTCAGGCATAAAGGTTGCCCCCTCCTCCTGCAGCTGCAACAGCTGCTACAGCAGCGGTAGCAGCAGCAGCAGCAGCGCCCCGCTCAGCAGCGGTTGCGGGCGCCGAAGACATACCTCGAGTCCACCGATCTGGCGCTTGAGTTGAGCGAGAGAAGAGGGCGTGCAGGCCATCGAGGCGAAGACCAGCCGCTCTTCGTAGTCGTACTCGCAGAGGATCTTGTTGTCGCACAGGTAGAACTTGTCTCCCACGCAGAACCTGCATGGGAGAGACACGTGTCCAGGGTCATTAGTTGGCATGGGATGGGCGTGGGTTTGGGGTGGGAAAGCGGGTGAGGGTTCAAGGTATAGGGTCTATGGTTACAAATGTTATCTTAATTTACGTTGTTAAGCATTTATCAATCCATGAGGAGACATGTGGAGGCTTTATATATATATATATATATATATATATATATATATATATATATATATATATATATATATATGTATGTATAATGTTAGAAGATAGAGAGGTATGTAGGAGTAGTATAACAGTATGTCGTTCGGTCGTTGGAGTGTTTTAAGCGTAGGTTAGACGTGTGTGTGAATGGGCTTTGGGTGGAAATAAGAGATGAATCGTATCAACCACCACCACCCACTCCACCACCACCACCACGACCACCTACTCCACCACTTCCCCTCCACCTCTACCCCTCTACCACCACCACCAACAGTACACTTACCTCAGCAAACATCTTCCTGTAATCTTCCATCTTCGATACATACCTGAAGTATTCTTTGGCATGTCTCCTGAAGATCCTGGCTATGTGTGTGTGTGTGTGTGTGTGTGTGTGTGTGTGTGTGTGTGTGTGTGTGTGTGTGTGTGTGTGTGTGTCTTGAAGTGGAACCCACTTCAAGACTCCGTACCAATATAGAAGCTTCAAGAGGAAGTATGGGCCAATAGGCCACTTGCAGTTACTTTCATTCTTATGCTCTCATATATCCAATTAATACCCATTGTTCCGTGTTCTGTCTTGTGTTTGTCATAAGTTTGTTCGCTTCATCCAAAATTGTTGTACCGTATCACCTCACCCAAATGCGAGTATAAATAAGGAAGCAAACGGAGTGTTTACAGGTTACAGTTGTGTGTGTAAACTAAAGTCTTTGAAAATGTAATAGGTAATTACGAAACGCGTTCAGGCGTCGCGTCAGACTAGAAATAAAAATGAATTTTGGAGAATTGGTTTCTCAATTACCATCGACAGTAAAAAGAAACATAAGAAATATTGTGAAAATTCGTGTTATAATTATTAATCTTACTTTTTCGGTCATATTTAACAACATATTTATATATATATATATATATATATATATATATATATATATATATATATATATATATATATATATATATATATATATATATATATATATATATATATATATATATATATATATATATATATATATATATATATATATATATATATATATATATATATATATATATATATATATATATATATATATATATATATATATATATATATATATATATATATATATATATATATATATATATATATATATATATATATATATATATATATTAGTATATTTTGGTAGCAGTCTTGGTAGTATGTCTTGTAAACATATGTTGTTGAATATGACCGAAAGGGTAAGATTAATAAGTCTAACACGAATCTTCTCAATATTTCCTGCGTTCTTCTTCACTGTCGAGGGTAATTGATAAATTAATTCTCCAAAATTCATTCTTTATTTCTGGTCTGACGCCTGAACGCGTTTCGTAATGCTTATTACATTTTCAAAGACTTAGTTTGCACATAAAGTTTATGTGCAAACTAAGTCTTTGAAAATGCTATTCTTGTGGTCGAGAGCTTTATATATCCTTGTTACCTTACCTTGCGATGATTTCGGGGCTCAGCGTCCCTGCGGCCCGGTCTCTCGACCAAGCCTCCTTGTGTTGTTAATTGGCGTTGATGAAGAATAGAATGGGTCATAGGAGCGACCTTTGTGTGTGTAGCACTGTGAGTGTGTCTGTTCTCGCCCTCTCATGCTGTAACTCTGTTTCCTGTCTGGTAGATACTCTCTGTTATTGCTTTGCTAGCTACTCCCGCCTGCTTGGGAGGTTCTTGGGGGTGGCAGTTAACTGTGTCAATGGCCTTTTGGTACTCTAGAAATTTATCCACAGTATGGGGTTTATTCCCCCAAAAATGGAGTTTATTCCCCAGAATACAGATTTCTTCATCATCATGAACCCAATTCAGTAATATTAGACTGTAAACAGAATCCAGTATTCTCTTGCTTGGTGACGGACGCACTGACATACACGCGTCCCTGGACAGAACCAACTGTCTGGGAGAGACAAGAGAGAAAGAAGAACAGAAATAAATTAGAAAATCCAAGAGGCAGCGCACCACGTCTGGCAGCGCACCACGTCTGGCAGCGCGCGAGCCGCCCAGCATTCAAAATACGCGCGCGAAAGGCTGGAGAAAGGCGCGAGCCAGCGCGCATTTGCCAAATCTCCTCGAAGAAATACGAGCGTTTGGTACAGGACCCCTACGGGGATTTGTGGGTGTGTTGAGGCTTAGAGCGAGGGAGGGGGGAGGAGAAACACGGAGGTGGGGAAGGGCGTGTTCCTTCCGCGACCTGCCGGCAGGAATAGACATTATATCACATGCTGCTGTTCGGTTTTATATCATGTTTGCCTTACACTCGTAAACCTGAGAGGTGAGAAAACAGTTTGAGCTGGGAGATCTAGCGGTTCCGTGGTGGTGGTGTGTGTGTGTGTGTGTGTCTGTCGCCGACCTGAGGTGGGGGTGGACCTCGTATCCCCACGCTGGAGAGAGAGAGAGAGTCATGGCGCAGGAATGTTAGACGTCTTAGAATCTTAGAGCTTGGTTGAACTCGAGCTCCTGGGTCACAAACTGTGGGAGTGAGGCGTTGGCTTCCCCCCCCCCCCTCCAGGCCTGGGGCTCACCCCCTCCCCCAGTGACACTTAGGCATAACGACGAGCGTAAACCCCAACCACTAATTCACTCCATCATTAGCATGAGAGCTGAACTGCCAGCGTCTCTAGGCTTAGTCGTTATGACCTTCAATGGACTACACGTGTCAGAGAGAGAGAGAGAGAGAGAGAGAGAGAGAGAGAGAGAGAGAGAGAGAGAGAGAGACAGAGAGAGAGAGAGAGAGAAAGAGGAAAGGAGAGAGAGAAAGGACAAAAAAAAGATAAAATAATCAATACAAAAAACCTGTACATACAATCCCACATCAACAAAACGTAAATAATAAATTATAGAATCACCGGTGGCCATATAATACAATAACAAAAGAGCCAAGATGATAACTAACTCTCAGGAAGACTCGTCTTGTCTTGAAGAACAAGCCGTGGACCGGGCGACCGCTCCCCAGGGGGCGCTGCCCCGCCCATCAATAGGCCATCAAATCGGCTGCTACAGCACTAACTTTTATAAATATCTCGGAACTCATTACCCTAAAACCCAACACGGAGCCTAATCAAGCGAGCCCTAATACCCAGGGTTTTAGGGCTTAACTGAAAGAAATGCACCATCGAAGTTAACACGCAAAAATTAGGGGGCCTTTGCATAGTAATTCCGGTGGGCGTTGGGGGCCGCCGACCCCCACGCTGCCACGCCCCGTTTTCTAAAATACCGACGTCTTGTGGTTCTCTGTAATTTTCTTTGACGGTGACTTGCCTAAAAGGGCGAGTAAGTGACGCTTGCTAAAATTTATTCCACAGGGGGATTCCACAGGGGGATTCCACAGGGGGATTCCACAGGGGTTGGGGAGGAAGATTCTCTGTTATACTCAGGCCAGAAATATGCTGTGAATCGATATATCGATTGTGTGTGTCTGTACAGCGACGGAGGCTTGAACCTTCCGCTTCTAATAGCTCACTTCGTTATCTTGAGGTTATCTTGAGATGATTTCGGGACTTAGCGACCCTGCGGCCCGGTCCTCGTCCACGTTATCTTGAGATGATTTCGGGGCTTAGCGTCCCTGCGGCCCGGTCCTCGTCCACGTTATCTTGAGATGATTTCGGGGCTTAGCGTCTCCGCGGCCCGGTCCTCGACCAGGCCTCCTTTTTGTTACACATTCCACAGGAAGCAGCCCGTAGCAGCTGTCTAATTCCCAGGTACCTATTTACTGCTAGGTAGGTAACAGGGGGCATCAGGGTGAAAGAAACACTGCCCATTTGTTTCCGCCTCCATCGGGGATCGGTCCCGGAACCTCAGGACTACGAATCCAAGGCGCTGTCCACTCAGCTGTCAGGCCCGTCCTCCTATACGGTTTCCCAACGTCAAGAAAATGGCTAATTTAAATTGCCCTTATCCTAACCTACCAGAGGACCCAAAACAAAACGGAACAGTACGGCACACTTTTTTTTTTTTTTTTTTTGCAGAGCCGCTTCCATGATTCACGAAGCAGTTACGCAAGCACTTACGAACTTGTACATTTTTCCTTAATCTTTGACGGCTTTGGTTACATTTATTAAACAGTTTACAAGCATGAAAACTGGCCAATCAACTGTTGTTATTGTTATAAACAGCCTCCTGGTGCTTCGGAGCTCATTAACTGTTTAATAATTGTAAACAAAGCCGCCAAAGATTGAGAAAAGATGGACAGGTTCGTAAGTGCTTGCGTAACTACTTCGTGAATCTGGCCTCAGGTTCGTAAGTGCTTGCGTAATTGCTTTGTGAATCTCCTTCTTCCTCCTCTCCCTTCTATCTCTCCCTCCCCCCCTCTCCTCTAGTATACCTCCATCTCCCCCCCCCTAAACCCCTCCACTCCCCCCTCCTCTCTCTCACCCGTCCTCTGGGGGTTGAGATCACAGCTTCTCAATGGCTTAAAAAAAAGTTCGATCCCCCTATGTAACAAACTGCCGGCCGGGCCCTGGTTCCCGGCACGCGTCTGTCTGTATGTATGTATATATGTATGTATGTATGTATGTATGTATGTATGTATGTATGTATGTATGTATGTATGTATGTATGTTTACCTGTATGTCTGTCTCAGACTCTCAATTGTCTGTCCATTTGTTCGTGTATATCTTTATGTATCTCCCTGTCTATGTGTCTTATCTGTCTTTCTGTTAGTCTAGACAGAGCTGTCAGTGATTGTGTGTACTTAACAGTGACCACAGAGGCAGCGAGCTCTAGCTCCTGAGACCCCCGCCTAGGTGAACCTCATACGATATAATCTTGAATTTCCTGATTCAGCCACGCGTGAGGGAAC